TTTCTCCAGACGTTTTCATAGTTTTAGTCCCTGTGAAGCTTTTTGGCGTACAGACCTAGTTGTCTTGTGCCCTAGCATTTAGCCCTCCTGGTAGTAGTCGTTGTGGTAACACTTACTAAGAACTTATCTTGGGGTAAACCCTCAGCAGAGAATTTTAGAAGGGCGAGATTGACTGATTCTCTAATGAGTCCTTTTGCTGCCTTTCACAGATGAACACAATGAGGTTTCAAGAGATTAAGTAATATATTCTGGGTGACACAAGGTGAAGGCAGGTGTCTTAGTTACTTTTCTATTACTGTGTTGACTCATGCTGACCAGAGCAACCTATAAAAGAATTGATTGATTAATTAATTAATTAATGCTTGCTTACAGTTCCAGAGAGTGAGTCTGTGGCAGGGAACGTGGCAAAGGATAGGTAGGCATGGAGCCGGAGCAGTAGCTGAGAGCTCACATCTGATCCACAGGTAGTCGGCCTAGACACTGGCAGAGACAGACAGACACACTGGTCTTGGCATGGCTTTGGAACTGTCAAACCCGTCCTCAGTGACACACGTCCTCAAACAAAGCCAAACTCCTGGCTGGAGAGAAGGCTTAGTGGTTAAGAGCATTAGCTGCTCTTCCAGAGGTCATGAGTTCGGTTCCCGGCAACCACACTGTGGCTCACAACCGTCTATAATGTGATCTGGTGGCCTCTTCTGCTGTGCAGGCATACATGCAGGCAGAACACAGTATACGTACTAAATAAATAAATCTTTTAAAAAAATGATTTATAAAAACAAAGCCACACTCCCTAATCCTTTCTAAACACTCCACCAACTGGAAAGCAAACGTTCAAGTACATATATGAGCCTGTGGGCACGATTCTCATTCAAATCACCACATTCCGTGCAAGGACACGATCACCTGGCCCTTGTGCTGTGAAACGGGTCCTTTTCCTTTCCGAATTTCACAGCTGAGCACACGGAAGTTCAGACAGATTAGTAACACCCTAGACGGCACAAGGTGAAACCAGGTCTTTAGTATGGGTCTGCCTTCAGTATGTCTACAAAGTGTGCTCTTAAATTTTGTCTTATAATTTATATAGCTGAATTATCTTCTCAGCTGGCTTGTAAGCACTTGGAGGTGTGATTTCAAAGGTCTCTGAATCTTACTCAGTGCCTTGCAAACACAGATGCTCAATAAATGTTTATCTAAATGAATACCAAGGTCTCTGTTTTCAAACCTGCTTGGGTCCACCTCCTTTCTCAGTGAGTTTTTAAAAAAATATTTATTTATTTATTTTTTATTTATTTATTTGTTTATTATGTATACAATATTCTTTCTGCGTGTATGCCTGAAGGCCAGAAGAGGGCACCAGACCTCAATATAGATGGTTGTGAGCCACCATGTGGTTGCTGGGAATTGAACTCAGGACCTTTGGAAGAGCAGGCAATGCTCTTAACCGCTGAGCCATCTCAGCGAGTTTTCACAGTCCAACCTATCGCATTCCTGTGCTCCCCAGTCCCTTCTTTTCCTTCTCCATTGCTCAAGAGATGCCATAAGCTGTGGTACAGTAACAGCGAAGCCTCCTAGACAAAGACCTGTGTCTCCTCTGGAGTATAGCAATCTGTCCATTCAGTCTATACCACCTGGGACCCACACATCATCATGAAGAAGGAGAGGAAAGCTGAAAGATATTTCTATCGTCTAGGTGCCATTCTGATCACTTCTAGATCAGAATCCACACCTGAAGGCTAAGAACACAAGCAGGCACCTTGGTATTTGCATGACACTAGAAGCCATGTTTTGCACATCGCTTAGCTTGGTCTTTCCATGTGACCTCTTTCTGCCCATTATTTCAGATGTAAAATAGCTCTCTATTGAATAAATTATCTCTGGATATCTAAAATCTTCCTTAATACACTCCCCCATCTCCAAACTTCAGATCCTGGTTGTTGCAGGACATTTGATCACACTGTGAAACTCTAAGACTATGTTAATAAAATTAACCTTGGATTAGGGGCGGAGCCAGTGACAAGTTGACAGGAATTAGCCATAGAGAATTTGGAGTACATGGTAAAATGGATAGAGAGAGACACAGGAAGAAGTAGGGAGGGACTTAGAGATTCGCAGTCCTTTTTGGTTTTGGATAATGTGGAAAGAGGCAATGCTGCTGGGTCACTTACAAAAAAAAAAAAAGTCAGCTGGTTGCGTTCTGATATAGTAGGTTTTCACCCCCAACATCTGACTTCCAAGTCTTTATCTAACTGAGTCTTTATTAATAGAGCAATTTAGATAGAGCAACACCTGGGTACCCAAATGCTTCTATTTCCTAGGTGAAACCCTGAGTTTTTAATGTATTAAAGGTCATGTATGAGGCAGACTGAAGTTTGTGAGTCTATATTCCCTTTTTGCAAGGGAAGGCCTGGCAAAGGGCTTATATATTCCAGCTGGCCAAGGTGGGTTTCTCTGGAACTGAGAGGAAGCTGAATTGCTAAACAGTCCTCTCCCCTGATCCTAAACAAATTCATTTTGGTCTTAAAGCAGAAAAGTGTCAGGGAAAACATTTTATGTGTGTAATTTATAAAATTTATACACAACTAGAGGAAAAATACCACACTAACTGTGTGCAGATAATACCTAATGTTTCATAATGTCAAGTAAAAATCCAAGAGGACTGTTGGCTTGTGTCTCTGAGAGTTCCTAGTCTTATTCAAAACACACTGAGTGATGACTATTGTATTTGTTTAACACACTGCCTTTATCAGTGAGATGATATTGGGAAAAATCCAGAATTTTAATGGACTTTTGGGAAAAGTGACTAAAAACAGTGGAGAGGTGAGTTCACAGTTTCTCCGCACTGCCAGCAGCATCTCTGGTGCTTGTAAGACTCTGCCACCAACCCAGACTATCAGTGAGTCTGCAACCCGTGGTGGTATCTTGTTCTAGTTCAGGTGAGACAGTAGCAGACTACCATGCATATAAAGCCTAATTAGTCCTTTATTAGCCAGTGACCAAGAGCATGTTCTTGTCCCCAAAGAATTCTTGACACTGAAGCTCAGGCATACAATGTTTATTAGGCAAAACCCATAATGATACCATTGTCAGGTATAGGTTAGGGGGACCTGGTGACATTTGTTTTGGTAGAGCACATCAGTTGTTTTGGTCATACATCTGGGTCATGGTCTGGAGCAAGGAAATGTCTGGAATGTGGTGATGTTATGGATCTAGGGTTGTTCAGAGATTCACCCTGACAATAAATAAACTTTAATAAGAAGGGGCTTTTTAAGATACTGGTGTCCATGTGTGGCCAGGACTGCACCTAAGAGTACTCCCAAGATTCAGCATCTAGCTGGAGCAGCCCAAGGCTTATAAAAACAAACCCCACAATATTTCATGTAGTTTGTCTACATATAGAAAGGCTCTAATCTTAAAATAAATGCCTTGCAGTCTTGATATATTTGTTAATAGAGTAAGCAAGTTTGATTACAGTAGCAGAACTAGCAGTTACTCTTATGACCTACTATCTTTCTAGAACAGCAAATTTTACAAAATCAGTTGACTTTAAAGTTTTCAATGTCTTGGGAGTAAGGGAAGTGGGCTGCATGGGTACCACTTAAAAGTTAGAGAAGATTTTTGTTGGTTTGGTTTGTTTGTCTGGTTGGTTGGTTTTTGGTCTCTCAAGCATAGTTAAGATTAAACCTTAAATGTTAAATATAATGTTAACCAGCACACTGACAAAGGCAGAAGTGACGATTCAAGGAGTAGGGGCTGAAAAGTAGGAGCCAAGAAAGTATTTTGGCCACTTCACTGTGATTATTAGTAGTACCAGTTCAGTACCACTTGTTGGAACCTAGTGTTTTCTGAGTTGAAGTCATTTGTGGGGTTGAAAAACCTGCATTTCCTTATTCAGAGCGGCCTGGCACAGAATCTTTAATGACTTCATGTAAACTGAGGTAAATCTCTGCCTGTCACTGAGATGCCTAAATAAACCCTCTCTAGCTCCACTTGCTTTGATTTCATTTTAATAGTCATTAATTTGGAGAGTGGACCACCCCGAATTTATCACTGCTTTGGTGCCTCTCATATCTTATGTACATAAGCCTCCATATACAAGCCCTGCAATCCCCAGATAAGATGGTCTTTGCTGGACATACATAGCTTCCACGTTCCTTGGTTTGCCAGCTTTCCAAATAAATCTGCACACACACACACACACACACACACACACACAAAACAAACAAACAAACAAACAAACAAACAAAACCTTATCCTCAAATTACTAGTTTTTTCAAGCAAGGGCAACTAAAATGATCCATGCAAATTAGTTATTGACAACCACACTATTATAATTGCCAGTTGGTGAGGGGGATGTCACATTGCTGAGGGAATCCGGCTGGCCTAGTAATATCTGCTTTCTTTGTAAAGTTCGGCAGTATCTTCCAGACACTACAAAATACATCCGGGCCATGGTCAAGATCACAGAGAGTCCCAAAAATGTAGCCTAGGTGGATGTAGCTTTTGGGGGTAGGGAGCTGAGAAGTATCTAGGCAGACACAAATAAAGTTGGGACAAAATGACCTTACCTTAATCATTTCACAACAAGTATCAGTTACCTGTTACAAGCTTCATGAAAGTGGAGCCCGGGGACATGGCACAGGGGGTAAGAGCGCCCGGCACCAAACTGGACTCATAGGATGGTAGGGCAAGTTGTCTTTTGGCCTCCACCAGGCACTTTGTGTCATACCTTCAAATACGTAATAAAGAAATGTAATTTTAAAATAAAACATAAATGAAAACTTGGTTCGGGCAAACAACCTGGTAGGGGACGCATCCAGGTGTCTTTCTTTGGAGAGGAAACACAATAAGTCTGCATGGGTATGGAGTGCGATCCTGCAGGATACAGTCACCCAGAACGAAGGTCCCACGGCACGCGGTTTGGTGCACTAAGTGCACGACGCCTGAGTCGAGGGACAGGAAGCAATGCGAGAACACGTGCATTGGCCTTGCGAAATTGAGAGGGCTTAGCGCTGGCGCAGGAATAGAAAGCGTCTAGAGGTCCTCTGGCTATGTGCAGAGGAGTTCTGGGAGTTGTAGTTCATTTGAGCAGCCAGCTGGCGCGGTTAGGCCCAGGGGTCTCAGGTACCTTTGCAGGCGGTGAGAAGACAGTTAGTTTGGCATGGAAGGCTGAGCCCAGTCCCCTCCTAGTTTGCAGAGCGTGATGAAGGACCCGGGTGCGCCCCCCTCCCTCTGGGTGCACCCTAGCGCCTTACTCACGCGTCCCCTGGTGGGCGGCAGGGCATGGGCAGTGAGACAGCCTCCGTGGAGCACGTGTCCGAGGTGAGGCGCTGTGAGCGAAGTGGAGGAAGCCCGTGGCTTCCAGTTTCTGGGTCCCACATCGGGGTTCTGAGGGAGAGCCGGCTACTTCCATCCATTGGTCAGCACAATGATGGGCTAACCCACCGCTTTGAGACCTACTTGCTTTTGTCCTCCCGGGAACTCTGTAAGGAAAGAGACTAACCCATTTTGTTAGACAGGTAAAGCGGGGATTTGAAAAGTCTCCAGTTTTATTTCGAACCCTTTCTGTTTAGGTTTGGGGTTTTAACTGTTTTTAGTTTGTAAATGCTTTAGATGTTTTTACACAAAAGCATTCACTATTCTGCGAAAGCAAGTATTGTGTTTGAAAAGCCAGTGGTCAAAAAGAATAAAACTATTATTGTCTTCTTCATTCATCCCGTGAGCCGACGAATTATTGAGGGACACGTCTACGCGTAGAGAGCTTTATTATTTTGACTAAGCAGGTGAAAGATAAACATGCATTTATGATGTATTCAGACTTTCATAGGAACTTCTCCTGTAATACAGGAAATGCAAAGGTGTACAGGAGGAACCTGAGGTAGAAATTCATATCGGCTGTCCTGTATCAGGGATATTATGGGATGGTTCCCTGTATTAATTTTTAGCCTGAGGCTGGACTGCCCTCCTGGCCTCCACTTCTAGGCTCACTTTCTGAGGACTCAGCCCCACCCAGTGCTGGAAAACCGAAAGAAAATGGCATAACCAATGTGCTCCTAACTCCCGGAACTCAGGTAAGTCTATGTCTTCTTTTCTCAGCATGGGTTTGTTTTCTTCTGTTCTTAAACTCGCTCTGCCCTTTTCGCTAGACCACCGGGGTCATCCTGAGACTGGGTGATGACCCTTACAGGAAATGTTCCTCACTTGGAACTTCCCTTCCTACTGTTGCTTCTTGGCCATCCACTCCACCGTGCTCGTTCTAGCCATGCATTACTGCAAATGGCCGTGTGAGATGCCAAGGACTAGCAGCCACACGCCCTGTCTCATGGTGTTTGCTGAAGCAGGAGACTAGAGATGCATAAGATAAACGGCATGAAGGAACACATTTATAAATATGTACTTTAAATGCAGAAATGGTTGTCTCTGACAAGTTATTAATGACCCTGGAGGATGTCCATCAGCTAGACTATTTGAAAGGGGTTTAAGATAATAGGCTCACTTTGAAAACCCAAGGAAGGTAGTTGGTCGTTAGAAAGTAGAAAACAGAGATTTTCCAAAAGAGAAAAACTTTATTTGGAGGGGAGGTGTCTATAAGGTGATTGAAGACGTGAAGGTTTGTGTGTCACTGTGGGATGAGTTAAAGTCTAAAGAGGATGGGTTATATAGCCAGATCACAGGGAAAAAACATCTATACTGTGTCTTACTCCAAAGCTGCATAGGCCATGTGAACATTTTCAGAGACCCAGCAAGATGAAACATGCCATAACTGATTGGAAAGGAATGAATAAGGATATCTCTGTAGAATCTGGAAGACGGGAAGTCCTTTTGTATAGATGCCGGCATAGCTTATCCATATAATACCCAACTTCTGGGAAACATTAAGCCAGGCATGTAATTGCTGATGATGGTAGATGTTATACCATCTTATCAATACAGAGAGCTGGAGAGAGGTTCAGTAGTTAACAGTACTTGTTATTCTTGCAGATGACCTGGGTCTGGTTCCTGGCATCCACATGTCAGCCCACATCTTTACCTAAAACTCCAGTTCTAGATCCAACAACCTTTTCTGGCTTCCTCAGACACCCAGCACATATATATATACCTGCACTCAAAATACTCATGCCTAAAATAAAAATAAATTAAAAAGAAAGCACCGAGACAGTCAGGCATGAATCCTAAAGTCCTTTCTATGCATCCAAATTAAGGGAAGGGAATGAGCATGTGCGGCAACCCAGGAGGCAAGGCTGTCTATGGAGGGAAACTTAGTTGAAATGTAGTGTGAGTAGTGGTCAAGTGAGAACTGGTGTGAATAGAGGTCAAGGGAGAACTGGTGTGAGTAGAGGTCAAGGGAGAACTG